GACATCTGCCGGTCATATGACCGGTCATCCAAATGGGAGATCTGCAGTCTTTTGGCATCATATTTTACATCAGAATTGAAGAGATTTCTGAAAAATCTTACCAGTTCTTTTGTGTAACTGTGATTTTGCATCCCTTGTCAACATATGGCCTCGGTTGATGTTAACTTAAGGTCGTTGTTTTACTGCCTTAAAATTGAAGGGAAATTTTTACAGCGTTTTTTATGTGTATTGGTTTCTATTTGAGTGTATTGAGAATCGGTCAGTCAAATGGTTTGTTCGTCGAAAATTCAGCGGGAATTATTACTCAAAATATCAGATAGTAAGAAAAAATGCTTCCAAATTCTCTCTCATGTAGAGAAACTTGCAATTTTCTGTACGAACGCAAATTTACAAGCTTTTCTGCCAGCTAGTGTCCACGGTTGCATTTCAAACAAAAGAAATTTGTATAGAATTTTTAAAATTCTTTTAGAGGGGCAAAAAACAGGATCTATGTGTATATATCTTGTCAGTCCGACTTTCTTTCTTCAACATATGATTCAATTTCTTTGTCGGGTTTACTATATCGACTCTGGTTGAGATTGCATTCCGGTTAAGAATACAGTTTTTTTTGCCGAGTACCTTTCAAATCATTGGAATTAACTAAATTAATTAAGTAAACAAGTATTAACATACATTTATCATTTTAAAATCGCTCCAGTTTGCACATTTTTAAATTTAACGAACTTGTTTATTCAAATTATCGTCGACAAAAAATCCAACCATGTGCCACAATCACATGTTTTTCCTAATTGCAAATTCTTGCCGGCAAAATTTTTTCCGGCTCGAATTTGTAACTTCTGTCCAAGAAATAGTCTTTTTACGCGTGATTTATTGAAATGAAACATGTGAAATTTAGTTGAAACATTTTAGCCGTTTTTAGCCGGTTTTATTTGCCAATTTAGCCGGTTCGTCCAAAAAGTTCTGGCAACACTGCTAGCCACTAGACAGTCTCCGCTCTCTGAGCCACGACGCCGACCGCCGACCAGTTAGTCGCTCTCTCTCTCTCCCCTCTCTTCGTGGACGTCAGGGTACCGGCAGCCTGGCCGAACGGCCGCGTGTGTGTGTGGTTGTGTTCGCTATATTTAACTACTGTGTTTATTTTATTCAGTGGGGGTTAGTGGGACCTCCACTCAACCCTGGAGCGGCTGAGCTACCTCAGCCTTCGATAAAACCCACCTCATAAAGAAAACCAGCCTATTTTCACTTCGCGTCGAATGAGTGATGTGTTTATACCTGTATTCTAACCGATTTGAAATCAAATTCGAGTCAATACACTTTTGAAATTCAGAGCTTATTGAAATTTGGTTTATGCATCAGCTTTGAATAACATCAAACTAAGTCAAAGCGCTTTATATGTTGGTACACTCAGAGAAAAATAAGTTCTAAAAATAAGTCCGACTGGGATTAAATTTACTCTTTTTCGTTTTTAAAATTTTAATATAAATACGGTCTTAAATATTCTTAGAATAAGAATTTTCCGTTCTTGTTTTGTGAAATTAAGATGCAAAAAGTTTCAAATAAGAATAATGTACTTATGTTAAATAAAAATAAGCTTAGAACGAAACTAATGTGTACTCAAATCAAGAACATAACAGATATTCTTATTGTTGGTTTCAAAATTCTTAAAAGAAGAATCAAAAATCTTAAAAGTTGAATACAACGACGCTCTACCGTTATTCTTTACAAGTCATGGCATGGATACGCTGCTGTCAGCGTGCCAGCAGTACTCACATCTGTGTTGTTGTTTATGGATCTGTGCAAGTGTAGCGACATTCTTCATACGCCGGCCAGACAATCGCAGTCAGTGTTGCCATTTTAGCCGTTTTCCGGCTAGATTTAGCCGGTTGCGAAAGCAAACAGCCGGAGAAATTTCGATTTAGCCGGCAGCCGATTTGTTAGCCGTTTTGGAGGAAAAAATTAGCCGTTTTTAGCCGATTTTGCTTTTGCCTTGTTTTCTTAAATTTTAAATATGTTTCCAATTTTTGACTAAGCGACCCAAAATCTATTAAAAAATGTTCATGTCAGGCAGGGTTGTATGAAATGGGGCCGATTTCGCTTATTTTTATTTTAAACGATGAAGGGATTTTCTTCATAAAATGTTTGTTATAAATGTCTTAATTTTAAGTGTGAAGTTTTATTCGCAAACTTAGAAAATAAGAAATTGTTTCACTGTTAAGACACTTAAGATGCGTTTGTGTTTGGATATAGTGCCAACAAACAGAATAAATATTACATGTAGATATTGTCTTCCCAGATAGCGCAAATTCAATTCTGCCTAAATTACAAAACATCATTTTTGCCATCATGGGAAAAATTGATATTTTAAAGCACTATGTACACATATGTATTTTTTAAACAAACTTTTTTGATGAGAACTTATTTAAATTCCAAAAACCGAATGCCAACTTGAATTCCATACAAAAAAAGTTGTCTGTACTTTCTATGGAAGAAACTGCATAAAAAAAATTTTCAAAAAATTTTGCAGCAACTTTAAACTTCCACTTTGTCATACCAAAATTGAATAGGCTATAAAACTGCATACTTAGAATTTAAAAAAAGAATTATCGAAAAAAATTATAATACAAATCTTTTTATATATTGTGAAAAATTGTCTGTGCCAATATTTTTGTTCGCCACTGTACACTCTGATATATTAAATTTACATATACCTTTTTTAGGATTTGCTTTTTATTTTCTGTTGTCGTTTCTAGCCAAGCACCCACTTTAGATGGCACGGAAATTGTATCATCGTCTATTCCAAACTAATAAGGAGTGAAATGTTTTCAGAAATAAATTAGAATTGACAATCACAAAACATCTGCGTATGAAATACTACCTCTCGTTTTTTTAACATAAAGAGCTCCTCCCGGAATTCCATCCGAAGGCCAAGAGGTGGTATGGCTTCTTTCAAGTCTTCCTTCCTCATGTACTGTAAACTTTCCAAAGTCACATGCGCAACTGAAATATATGTGTGCATAAATAAATCTGTACATCAAGGCTCTGGACATGCCAACGGCAGGGATTTTGCAAAAATCATGACACCTAACGTTCTTAAAAAACTTTCCACAAACAAAAGTTATGTATACATACATATTTATGTATGTTATATTAGTTATAATTTTAATGCACTACCATGTTTAAATAAGGAAGCACATCAGGCAAATTAAAATCTGTTAATAATTTTAACAGACCGTCGTCTTGCCTTTTGTCCTCTGTTTCAATATCACTCATTATTTCGATTTTACCAATCACAAAACAACCGACTCCACACGCGACAAAAATAAAACTAAAAAATTGCTCAACGTAGTATTTTTGGACCGCTATTCGCACCAGTGTTGCCAGAACTTTTTGGACGAACCGGCTAAATTGGCAAATAAAACCGGCTAACAACGGTTAAAATGTTTCAACTAAATTTCACATGTTTTATTTAAATAAATCACGAGTAAAAAGACTATTTCTTGGAGAGAAGTTACAAATTCGAGCCGGAAAAAAGTTTGCCAGCAAGAATTTGCAATTAAGAAATACATATGATTGTGGCACATGGTTGGATTTTTTGTCGACGATAATTTGAATAAACAACTTTGTTAATTTTAAAAATTTGCAAACTGGAGCGCTTTTAAAATGAAAAATGTAAGTTAATACTTGTTTACTTAATTAATTTAGTTAATTCCAATGATTCAAAAGGTACTCGGCAAAAAAAACTGTATTCTTAATCGGAATGCAATGAAGAAAGTCGGACTGACAAGATATATACACGTAGATCCTGTTTTTTGCCCCTATGAAAGAGTTTTAAAAATTCTATACAAATTTCTTTTGTTTGAAATGCAACCGTGGACACTAGCTGGCAGAAAAACTTTCAAATTTGCGTTCGTACAGAAAATTGCAATTTTCTCTACATGAGAGAGAATTTGGGAGCATTTTTGCTTACTATCTGATATTTTGAGTGATAATTCTCGCTGGATTTTCGACGAACAAACCTATTGTCTTCCCTACAAGGCCTTTTCAGACTGACCGATTCTCAATACACTCAAATAGAAACCAATACACATAAAAACGCTGTAAAAATTTCCCTTCAATTTTAAGGCAGTAAAACAACGACCTTAAGTTACCATCAACCGAGGCCATATGTTGACAAGGGATGCAAAATCACAGTTACACAAAAGAACTGGTCAGATTTTTCAGAAATCCCTTCAATTCTGATGTAAAATATGATGCCAAAAGACTGCAGATCTCCCATTTAGATGACCGGTCATATGACCGGCAGATGTCTGGTAGGATTCCCAGAGAGTTTTGCTTTACATAGAAATTTGTGCTTTTTTATTTTCATTTTGACTCACTTCAGTATTGGTTTCTTTAATTCAAGTTGGCATTCGGTTTTTGGAATTTAAATAAGTTCTCATCAAAAAAGTTTGTTTAAAAAATACATATGTGTACATAGTGCTTAAAAATATCAATTTTTCCCTTACCTTAAACCTTTGGGAGTGGGCAAAAATGATGTTTTGTAATTTAGGCAGAATTGAATATGCGCTATCTGGGAAGACAATATATACATGTAATATTTATTCTATTTGTTGGCACTATATCCAGACACAAACGCATCTTAAGTGTCTTAACAGTGAAACAATTTCTTATTTGCTAAGTTTGCGAATAAAACTTCACACTTAAAATTAAGACATTTATAACAAACATTTTATGAAGAAAATCCCTTCTTCGTTTAAAATAAAAATAAGCGAAATCGGCCCAATTTCATACAACCCTGCCTGACATGAAATTTTTTTAATAGATTTTGGGTCGCTTAGTCAAAAATGGAAACATGTATACATATTTGAAATTTAAGAAAACAAGGCAAAAGCAAAATCGGCTAAAAACGGCTAATTTTTTTCTGCAAAACGGCTAACAAATCGACTGCCGGATAAATCGAAATTTCTCCGGCTGTTTGCTATCGCAAGCGGCTAAATCTAGCAGGAAAAGGGCTAAAATGGCAACACTGATTGGAAGAGGTTATTTCAAAAAATATTATTCTTAGAGTGCAGGACTTTCCTTGCATAGTGGACGAAATATGCTCCATATTTCCCAGTGAAGTTAATATGCAGGTAAATTTAGCTAATATACAGTGGCGCTCATCCAAATAGCACACTTTTATTTTTTTACAACATTCACAATGTTTTACGCGAGGGTGTTGCGTAAAAATAGATTTTGTTGATGCTGAAGATTTTTGTAACATCATTTTGAAATTTGTTAAATTTTCCTGAACTGTACACAAAGTTTTAAACTTGGACTTATATGGTTTATGTTATAGAATGTACTGTGTTTTTATAAAAAATAAACGAAAAAAATTTATCACGTAAAACATTGTGAATATTGTAAAAAAATAAGAGTGTGCTATTTAGCTGAGCGCCACTGTACATACATATGTACATAGTTTTCTGCATTTAAAATAGGACTATTTTCATGTATTTTGTAGGACTATTACTTCATTTCGAGGCAAGGAAAAAACAATCCGTCTGGAAGGTTGTATTCAAAGTATAAAAACCAAAAATCGAAGCACCGAAAGGTTCAAGGTTTATCTGAGCCGTCTGAGAGCAAAGATAAAAACTATGCTAACAGATCGATTGTCCAAACTCCAGAAGTTGATGAGTCGGTTTCCGAAGCATATAAAACAGCCTTAAACAGAGACTGTGCGGATTGGGCCGAAGTTTGCGACAAATGGAAGAAAACCTTTCATTTAAGGCAGCGAGACCTATGTAATTTGAGTCCTTTGGATTTTTTTCAAGCTTGGTCAAAATTGTCACATGCACAGGCTTCTGATTTTGTATGAAAAAACGTTTATTTGTTTTTCGTAGTGATTTTATTTATCCATTTTTATGGTAACATTTTATTACAATTTATGGTAACTCAGAATGGAATACCTGGAATAAACCTTGTACTTTCCGTTTGAAATTTACGGATTGAAATTGATTTTCAGTTCATGTATCCTGAGAAAACACATTTATTCCTTGCTAAGTGGGAAACTTTTAAGGCAAAAATTATTAATTACTATGAGAAAAACATAAGCAACGAATACTGTAGGCAAATACTTTCTACAGCTAAATCGTCAAATAATAAAGATATATAAAATAAAATTTTAATTCATTTCATTTCAATTCAAATATTTATTTCAATGAAAATATTTATTTCCTTGTTTTACAGATGTCCAGGACTATTTAATTACAATTCTTCTAAATGCTGTATTACCTTCCGGCGCCAGATTCAAAAGCGAAAGCGGTAAAAAAATCAAGAAAGTAACTATAATTGATTCTCAGGAAAGTTTGGTATTGCGGCTCCCAACTTTGAATGATTACCAACGGCAGGTCAATGCCGTAATTAACAAATACTACTCTGCAGGGTTAACCATACAACCTTTTTTGATTGTCGAAGGGCTGTCAGATACGAATATAAGCGGTTTCTTTGTGTACTTTGATAATAATTTGCTTAAGTTTAATTCATTCATTCAAAGCATAGATATTTGTTTTAAAATATTTCAAATAAGGAATCTTAAATATCCAGAAGCTTGTCAGAACCCCTGGCTTTTTATTCAAAATTTTTTTTTTTTCAAATTGAAACAAAGTTCGACTTCAAATCGTCAAATATTACATCACTTGTAAGCTTTTTGAACACTGATTAGAAAATAACGGAAAGATGTATACTTGTTTTCGTTGTTTAAAAATCTTTGCTGCACCTGCAATTTTGATAGTTCATTTAGAAAAGATCATTTATTAACACAAAAACTGTTAAAAATACAATGTATTCAAAACAACTGTAATCAAACTTTTACTAATTTCTCTTATTTTCGCATACATTTGGAAAATAAATAAAACAGATGACTTTCGCTGTGAAACAAGTGAATTGGTAAATATCGACATTCAAAAATGTAACGTTTGCAGTGAGTTAGTTTTTAAGGGAACACGATGTAAAGCAAAGTATTATTTGTCTATAAATAGAATAAGTTTTGAATTATATTAAATTAAATGTTTACTTATCCATAACGAAAATGCTTTTGTACTTTGTCAACAAGTAGAGGTAAAAACATTTGGGAGTCATTTAAGATCATATGAGATAGGTTGTTTAGTTGATAAAATGTATTTAAAACCAATTGAAGAATTTACAGGTCCACCTTTACATATATATCCTACAAATAATGGAAAATCATATGTAAGAATGAAATATCTGTAAGGATATAATAATAAAAAGTCCTAGAAATTTTTCGAGAACGTAATTTCGTAGACCATCGAATGTCTGAATAACAATATTAATTTATGTACACTGGCAATCGAAAGTGAGTGCATGGTGTTTTTAGTTTAATATTTGCAATGTTTTTTAAGTAAAACTTTTTTGTTTTTGTTATTTTTATACAAAAATATGGTTCATGCTTTAATCGAAACCACATAAGTCAAACTTTCAAACTTTATACAGAACGTAGAAAAATTCAAGAAATTTTCGTCTAAATTTTGAACTTTTTAATCTGAATTTTTAGAAAACGCAGATAGATCGGATATGCAATTTTAGTGAAACAAGTGAAAGTTTTAAGCGGCTAAAGAATTGCGTTGATTTTTAATGATTTTTTTCCGATGGATTTTGCGGTTTTATGCATAGATATAACAAGTGCAATTTACAAAATATAGCGTTAATTTTTTTTTATTTTGTTTGCAAACGGTTTGAATTTTTCTAAGTTATTTATAACGTTTGAAAGTTGAGTTTTGTGGTCTTGATTAAAGCATGACCCATATTTTTATAGAAAAATAACAAAAAAATATTTACTTGAAAACCGTTGCAAATATTTAAGAAAAAAAACAATGAACTCACTTTTGATCGCCAGTGGACATGTGCAACGAAGGCTCGAAATTTTTTTGTATTTTGTTCAAAGCTTGAAATTTTGATTTATGTAAGTTTATGGTTTTTGTTGTAGAATTGGCTATGTATTTGTAAAAAAAATAAACGAAAAAATGTTACTATGAAAACCAAAGAATAATACTTTTGTAAGAGAAATCAAATAATAATACTTTTGTGACTAACTGTATATACATAACATATGTATAATTAACTGTTTATATGTACCCATGATTAATGTAAAGTCTAAACTATGCTGTAAATAATAAAGGGGAAAAATATAGTTACATTGCGTTTTTATTTTCCTACAGGGCAAAGTTTGCAAGCCGAAAACAAGATTAAATATTCTAGTTACAATTCACATTACTCTAGAAAGAAGAACATAATTTCTCGTTTTAAATCCGATTTTATTCTTGAAATAAGAACATGTTTGCTTCTTTTAAGTTATATCAATCATGGTTCAAGAGCGTTTTGCATTCAATTTTAGAATGCGTAATTCCTAACTTAGGAATAAATAATCTTGTTTTAAGAAATTTTAATAAACAAATTTTGGATTAAAATAAGACTTGAACGGTTTTAACTTAAGAATTAATGAATTTATTCTAAGAACATATTATTCTTGCAATACCACCAAACGTTCTTAAATACTTCCAAAATCAATCTTGAAAGTAGAATTTTCAATTTAAAAAAAATTCTTGAAATAAGAATTTTGTACTCCGCATAAGAATATTCGGTATTACCGTACTTTTGTGACCAAAATTCTTGATTTAGACTTGATTTAAGTACGAAATTCTTTATTTTTTTTCTGAGTGTATAAACAAGGTATTAGTTTATAAAATTTCAAAGGTTATAGTTATTTCATGTAACACCACGAGTGCTTTGATCGCCCATGATTGGGTGATACTATACTAAGATACTATATAAAGAGTGAGCAAGAAGGGAGCGGAGTCTAACATTTTTTCATGTCTAAGTAAACTTAAGGTTGCTGAATTCAAAACTATCTGAAAAATGCATGTTTTTCTTACATACAAATTCTTATGTCTAGTGATTTGAGCTATGAAATGAGTAA